CAGCGTTGCCCAATTTTATATATTTCCTTTTAATCAAAATATTTTAGGAAATAAAAATAAATCTATACTGATATATAAAATCCTTAAGTAAGAAGCTCAATTTTGGCATACAGGTTGATTCTAGGGTGTAGAGGTTCGATAAGAAGGGATTTTTCGAAATTCCATTTCCAAGGGGTGAAACCATCCCTCAAATATTACAATATTTTTTATTTAAAAAACGGTCAAGTTTCCGAAAAAAACGCTTAAACACGTACCTATATTTTATTTTGTCTTTTTTACATATTTTAAGATTTTTTAAAAATGTATACAGGGTGTTTCGAAAAATCTGGTCATTGATTAATCACGATCCTGCTTAAAGCGCTTGACGTAAAAGCTGATTTTCGAAAACGGATTGACTTTAGGGGTACAGGTTCGATAAGAAGGGAATTTTCGAAATTCGAATTCTAAAGGGGGTGAAACCACCCCTCAAATATTAGAATATTTTTTTATTTAAAAAACCGGTGAGTTTTTCGGAAAAACTCTTAAACACGTATATTTAATTTTTTTGTTTTACATATTTTAAGATTTTTTAAAAATTTATACAGGGTGTTTCATAAAATATGACCATTGAGTAATGACGATTCTGACTGATTTTGGCAAACGAATTGACTGTGGGGTGTAGAGGTTCGATAAGGAGGGGTTTCTCGAATCTCAAATTCCAAGAGGGTGAAAACGCCCCTCAAATATTACAATATTTGTTATTTAAAAAACGGTTAGTCTTTCGGGAAAACGCTTGGACAAGCACAATTTATTTGTTTTTTTTACATATTTTGAAATTTTGATTTTTTATCATACAGGGTATTCTAAAAAGTTGGGTAATTGATTAACCACGAACTGCTTGACGTAAAAAGCTTATTTTTGGCAAACGGATTTTTCGAAAGTCAAATTCCAACAGGATGAAACTACATCATGCTGACATAAATGTGAGAAAAATTTATCCAGTTTGTATGTTAATGGAAATTCTTGCTTTGCTTAATCATCACCATTAAAAATGATTAATTCGACGCGAACAAAGTCGGGGGTAGACGCTAGTTAATTATAAATATATAAACAGTTATTATTTACATCAACTAAACTCACCTTCTTAAACCTTTTCAAAAGAAACACCTTTAGCGAGAATCCGACACATGTTCGAGTACGTTTCCATTAAAATGGAGGAAATATTAAAAAAAGCTAAAGAAGCACGACAAGCGTTTCTTCTACTTAAAAGTGAATTCATTTACCAAAAGGAATATAAAAATCAGCCTTCATTGGTTGGGACAAAAAAATATTGTAGCAGGAGATGTTCTCTTGTAAATTTATAATATGTGACATTAATATGTAAATACATTGTTAGAGTAGTTAAATGAGTGTCCATTTTCATTTTATATTATTACTCAAAATGACTATTGTATTTTGAGTATATGGTTGTTACCTATACGAGCCCTAACAACTATATGTTGGGACAAGTCATATTTTGGAATTATTACCCTGGTTTTTCAAAATGACTGAAAAATATATGTTTAATTTTTTAAATATAAACATAGCCATATATCCTAAACAACTTGACAATATTTTTATGAATTTGTAAATCAATCTATATTTACAGTAGCGGATTTTGTTCATAAAAGGACAAATTTGCTGACAACTAAATGTTGGGACAAGTATATTTTAAATAATTAATATCTCATAGGCGGCTTTGCTATAAACGTCACAAATGTCGCAAACTGTTTACTTCAGCATTGACAGCTTGTAAGTGACTCGATACTTTGAGTAGTGAGGCTTACTGTAAGTAATTTTAATTTTATTAATTTTCAATTTTGTTAATTTAATCCAAAGTAATGGTCCGTGGAAAAACTACAAATCAAAAACTACGCGAAATTATCATTCGTCAATACAGTACTGGAAAAACAATTCGAAAAATCTCTGATGATTTAAGTATTCCAAAAACCACGGTCTTTAATATAATAAAAAAATACGGCGAATCTGCCAGTGTAGGCGTTAGAGGTAAAAGTTCGGGAAGGCCAAAAGTTGTATCTCAGAGAGATTTACGAAATTTAGTAGAAATTTGCAAGTCTGCGAGAAGAAGTACTCTTCGCGAAGTAACAGTTAAATGGAATACTGTAACTGGATTAAATATATCAAGATAATGTTGCCGAAAATATATCCATAAATGCGGTCTGGGGTTTTACAAGGTAAACTTTATTTTGTGTGGATACTCAATTACCTGAAGATTATTGATACAAATTCTTATTTAGGCCAAAGAAAAACCGCTACTGACAGAAATTCAAAAGAAAAATCGCTACAATTGAGCAAAATCTAAATTATCGTGGACACAAAATGATTGGAATAAGGTCATATTTAGCGATGAGTCTAAATTTGATGTTTGCGTTGGAGTTTATCGAAAAAGAATAATACGAAATAATGCAGAAGCCTTTCATAAAGATTGCTTAAAGAGGGTTGTTAAATTTCCTAAGGGGATTATGGTTTGGGGTTGCATGTCAGCAAGAGGTTTGGGCAAATTAAATTCTATAGATGGCACTGTTAACGCCCAAAAATATAAACATATATACTTGAGACCTCACTTTTGCCTAGTGCTCAAGAATTGTTTCCAAACGAAGACTATATTTTTCAACAAGATGGAACATCGTGCCATTCAGCAAAATCAACTAAAAATTGGTTCGGTAATAATAATATAAAATTTCTATCCTATCCTGCAAGTAGTCCGGACCTCAATGTTATAGAAACTGTGTGGCATTAAGAAACCACCCTCAACGAACAATTTTTGATTTGCCGACAAAACTGCAGGAAATTTGGGATAATTTTTCTCCTCAAATGTGCCAATCTTTGGTAAATACAATGCCATTAAGAGTTCAGGCAGTTGTTAAGGCGAAAGGTGATGTAACTCCGTATTAAACAAATTTCTTTTTGTGCAGTCCCAATATATCGACGGCGTCACGACAAAAGGGCGTAAGCGCCATTCGTCATTTTTTTCAGGAGACGAAAAAAACGCCTAAAATCTATATTTTTAATTTTTTGCGAATTATTTTCTTACTACAGTATTATAGATTATATGGCACATTTTTCAAGAATTTTTTGCTTATAAAATATTAAACTGTTAATTAGTTATTTTAATATTTGGTGCTTACGCCTTTCTTTCTAGGCTCTATTGGCGTTTACGTCTTTTTGAAAGGCGTTTAAGACTTTTGTGTCTTATTATTCTAGTCATTTATTTTCTTACTACAGTATTATAGATTATATGGCACATTTTTCAAGAATTTTTTGCTTATAAAATATTAAACTGTTAATTAGTTATTTTAATATTTGGTGCTTACGCCTTTCTTTCTATAGGCTCGATTGGCGTTTTGAAATCTTTTTGAAAGACGTTTAAGACTTTTGTGTCTTATTATTCTATAGTCATTTTTTGTCGATAAGGTGCACTTACGCCTTTTGAGTTTTACAAATAAAATTAAAAATGTCGCTTGGATTTTTTAAATTTTTTAATAGAAACACAGTACAAAATACTCAAACTGATACTTGCAATATTTTCAAACTCATTAGGCTTGAAATAATAACTGGAAAATTAAATTTAACTAATATTCTGAGCAAAACACGGGTAAACTTGATCCGTATTCCTTGTTGGTGGCAAAAGGTGGTGCTTCTAACATAAATAATTCTGACTCCAACAACGCATCATGCTGCAATGCTTCTGCCAGAAGATCATTATCTATGATATTGCTCTCAACCTCAACCTCTTGATTTCCACATTTTAATGCCAAATCTCTGATTTTCTTCCCGCGGGAAGTCATTATCACACTGTGGAGAAAAAATATAAAAAAGGCTTAAGCGACATCAAAAAAACCAAATTTCAAACAATTATTACAATCAAGAAAAAGTCCTTTGACTTGTAGCAAAGGTTTTTTGAAAATTAATATTGTATACAATTTAGATATTTGACAATTTTTTGAAATCTGCTGAACGGTAGTTTTGTTAAAAGCAAAAAAATACGCCATTACGATCACATAGGCGGATGGCGCTTATGCAAACCAAATAAATTAACACGAAAAGGCGTAACCGACAATAACAAATAAATGTCGGTGTTTACTATTTGAATTAGATTGAAGCACAAAAAACAATCTAGGCTACCAAATATGAATAAGACCTACCTTATTAATAAGTTTTTCTACGTACCTTTGAATGGAAAATGGTATTTTTTCATCCCAGGCGTAAGCGACCTTCCAACAGGTGAAAATGGCGGTTACTGATTTTCGCGTCGAGTCTGATTTGAAGGTGTATTGGCGGTTAGAAACTAAAACTGTATTTTTTCTCACGTTAAGAATTTTTGCTAGTTAAGCCGTTTCATAGATAGGTGCGCATTTATTAGTATTACATTTTGGAACCATAATCTCATTTTCGTTATTTTGGCGCTTACGCCCTTTTGTCATGACGCCGTCGATATAGTTGTCAGCAAATTTGGCTTGACTTTGGCAAAATAAGCTATTATCAAAAGTGATTTGTTTGCAAAGTTATAAAAATATAGTAAAATTGTCTAGATCATATTGTGACGTTTGAATTTAGAATAATAAACAAAATAAATTGTGTCGTTTTAACAAATTACTATTTTTATTGCAAAAAAAGACTTTGTCCCAACATATAGTTGTTAGGGCTCGTAAAAGATAAGTTATATTATAATCATATACGATCTTTAATGTTAATACATTTTTTTAATAACAAGTATCAATATGACATTTTTTTGTTTACAAAATATGTTTACAAATGTTTATTACTGTTTTGTAAATCTTGTGTACCTTAGTTTTCATACAGAAAAGTATATCTATTGAGAAGATATGTATTAAATGCAGCTACAATAATTAAACAAAGCTCAAATAATAAAAAAGTAATTATAAAAGAAAGTAAAGAGTACGACACTGGGTCAATTACAAACATATAACTTTCCTACTTTTTTACCGGTTTCCCTCTTTAGTCTAGAGAGAGAATTGTGACAAGTAATCAGGAAAATAAGGGTAGTGCCTAGATCGATGTAGAGAAGAATAAAAATAAAGAAATTTGTCTAGAGAAAATACAATATTGAATTTAGCAAGGTACGTTTTATAGTTTAGTTTTGATATTACTAGATTATGATAAAAGTTATAAAAGCATGGAAAACGCAATGTGAATTTATTTTAAAGAATATACAGGGTGGCGCCTCTCATACGCGGAGGCTCTAATGAAATTTTGGGAGCATACATGAGTTAATTTAGACAAACTTTTAAATTATATAGAGTTCTACAACAGGGCTACAACTTACTAGTTATTCATCAATTTATAGAATGCTTTGCAGATGTAGATATTCGTGAAGAATCAAGATTCAATTTTTAAAAAAATATACAGAGTAAGTCTTAAATAAGTGCAAATATTTTTAGAGGTAGTATACCGGGTGCGTCTCAAAAGTAGCTCACCCCTATATATTTTTTAATTTTTTTCAGTTAAAAAAACGAGATTTGGTATGTTAGTATATGACTTAAATTAGGATTGATTGACGTATTCAATTGTTTTCGGTCACTTCCTGTTTCGCCGGAAATGACTACAACTTTTGATTTTTAAATGGCACCCTTGGTATTTTTTTACTTTATTCAATAGAAAATAACACTCTGAATAGAATGACATATCATATGTCAACTATTGACATTTTCGCATATGGTTTATTTGAAATTATAACTATAGAGGTTCGTAACAAAAATTTGACTCGAAATACCAAGTGTGTGGTATCAAATTATTTGTAAAAAAATTATCTTAGTTGGAAAAATTTCCAAAAAAAGGCTTGGAAATGAAGATCGATGACATTTCCCATATAATTTTACATATAAAATGACAGAGATCTTCATTTCATAGCCATCGCCATGGGCGCCGGGACAGGGGGGCAGAGGGGCATTTGCCCCCCTGATCACTGAAACAATAAAAATAAAAGCTATCTTCTTACATCCATCTGTAAAAAAATAATCATTATTATGAAATTGTTAGGTGTTACCTGTAAAATAATAAAAAATGTGGTAATTATTGGGAAAACTGGAAATCGTCCGATTTTCACAAAAATTGGTATACACACTATTTTGAGGTCGTAGATTACGAATCTATTTTTTTCTTGGCGGTCTCTTACCGTTTTTCAGAAAAACGGAAAATTACTTCAACATTGAATTTTTCTTTATTTCGGCCCTATAAAGTAATAATTTCACTATATTTTCATTATATTATAGTTTATCTAAAAGCCACACTTGATTGGGGATAGAAAAGTGTCCAACATTTTACTGAAAAACACTTTTCTTAAAAAAATTGCAAAGAAAATTGAGACCAGATGGAAGTTTGACATTTGATATACTATTGAATATCCTTCTTTCTCTCTCCTATGTAATAAGAGAGACAAATATATTCTAGACCTAATCTAGAAATTTGAAAATTTCTAGATTAGGTCTAGAATCTTCTATTTCGGGTGATTACGGATTTTAAATAAATTACCTATTATGAGATCAACAATAATTAAATATACACCAATATCCACAAAATTACGCGGAAAAGTTTTGATTGCATTGGTTTTAACTTCTTTGCGGAGGAGGTTAATCTTTTCTTAGTTAATCTAATAATATAACAACAAAAGATTAACACCCTCTGCATGGAAGTTGTAACCAATGCAATCAAAACTTTTTCGTGCAACTTCGTGGGTATAAATAGTCAGATCTCGTTGGTAAAATAGCAGTTATGGGAAGGAGCCGTTCTTCTGGCGACCGCCTTTCGTAATTCCAGAATGAGCGAAAAAAACACGCTAAATTTAGGTTTAACATTGGCAACGTTGCTTTAAATGCCAGAAAGACATAAACTTACTTCGGGTTTCTCTTATTACCGATTCTGAACCGTCCTAGAACTGTGATGTGTATGCGCAGAAGGAAATATGAAGACATTACTTCATTTGCGCATGCGCTGCAGAGTTCTTGGACGGTTCAGAATCGGTAATAACAAGAACCCGAACAAAGCCATAATCTAACATTTTCAGATTGTTTACAAATTTATTTTAACAAATTTTCCTCTATTATGCATAGAATTGGTTAAAAAAGTAACAGAAAAGAGCAAAAACATTATTGATTATTGAATACCTAACAAAATATGTGCTAGAAAACCTTAAACATATGAGAAATTAAGAAAAATTCGATATTGAAATTATTTTCCGTTTTTCTCAAAAACGGTAAGAGACCGCCAAGAAAAAAGATTCGTAACGTTCAGGTTCGTAATCTACGACTTCAAAATAGGGTGTATACCAATTTTGGTGAAAATCGGACGATTTCCAGTTTTCCCAATAATTACCAAAAATGTCAATTTTTTATTCATTTTTACCTTGCCCCCCCCCCTAAATTTCATTTTTCCGGCGCCCATGGCCATCGCTGACGCCGTTTTTATTCGATCATACGGTACCTATATCATGAGATGAAAAATGTTTTTAGTGATCTTGTATTAATAGCCTTGGCATAATTTTTCGAGTACCCTATATACTGAAAAATAGTTTCCTTCGAACAATTATAAATAAAAAAGATTATGATTAACCTAGGCTATTTAAAACAATTTAAGAAAAGATAAGAAAAAGAAAACAAAAAATTATCACATCTTCGGAATTCTTTAGCCATAATAACATTGACATTATTACTACACGTATACTCAATATACAGGGTGGTCCGAACTGTATTCCGAACACTTCCTCAGCATATTCTGCAGATAAGAATAGCTAAAAACGTTCTTATAAATGTATGTCCTAAAATGCTTAGTTTCGGAGATACAGGGTGTACAAGTTTCATATTTATTTCGATTTTTCTAAATAATTTATGAAGTAACGTCAATATTTGGATGAAAATTGGTGTCGGGGAGTTTTTTGGCATGAGAAATTTGATTTTGATGTCAATATGACTCTTACTTTCAGAGAGCGCCACCTACATATTTTTAACTGGTTTCAAGAGTAATAACTTTTCGTCCGCACCTGTATAAAATTAGTGATTAAAAAAATATAAATTTACGACATTTTTTACGTAAAAAAGGTCTCTTGGTAAAAATCGTTACAAGTAATGGTTCTCGAGATATTTGGAATCGAAATTATCAAGACCTATTATCATTGACATAAATGAAACATATTGACTAAATAGTTATTAAACTGAAATCATAAATTTGAAAAGTTTAACAGAAACTGTTTAATCATCGTTTTTTCGCAGTAAAAATTATGATTAATTTAAAAATTAAATTTTTCCAAATTTATTATTTCAGTCAAATAACTACCTACTCGACGGGTTTATTTTTTGTCAATAATGGCATGTATTGACTATTTCCATTTTAAATATTTTGAGAACGGTTGCACGTAGCGATTTTATAAACACACCGGAAAAGTCTAGGGATATTACAATTTTATCCAGCCATCGTCAGTAATTTTAGTATTTGCATTTCTGATATAATAAAATTAAAATAAACAAATAGTTTACAGGACGTATTGGAAACAAAAATGCGAAATTTACCGAATTTTTCAAATTTACCTTGATTTTTACTGAACTCAAAAAAATACACACATTTTTTTTTATTCTAAACTGTGAATTAAAAACAAAAAGATAAAACCATTTTTACTTAATAAAGGGTATGGCCTCCTCTACTGTTCATTACAGCCCTACATCGTCTCTCCATGCTCCTGATCAGGTTGTCGATCTCTTCTTGAGGTACAGCCTGCCACGCTGCATTCACGGCCCGAACCAGATCCCTACGAGTTTCACGAAGCATACCCATTCTCAAAATTCTTCTTTGGACCGCGTCCCATACGTGCTCGATGGGGTTGAGGTCAGGAGATTGTGCCGGCCAGGGTAAGATGTTTAATTGATGAGCATTGATAAACTCACTTACCACTCTGGCTGTACGAGGCCGTGCATTGTCATGCATGAGAATGAAGTTTCTCCCAAAATCATTGGCATATGGTAACACGACAGGCTCAAGAATTAAATCACGATATGTGATTCCTGTTAGAAACCTTTCAAGAAAAACGAGATCGGTTTTTCGGCCTAATTGGACTGCTCCCCAGACCATAACTGTTCCACCTTGATAAGGGTGCACTTCCTGAACATGATCCAACCGAATAAGATTTCCCGGTTCTCTCCATACCCTAAGCCTTCTCGAATCCGGATGAATTCCAAAGCGTGACTCGTCCGTGAAGAGAACATTGGCCCATTGTTCATTCGACCACTGAACATGATCTTGAGCCCACAAATATCGTACCTCTCGATTTCCTCTCGTTAAGGGTTCAGCTCTCCAGAGGCGTCTGCTTCTTAAGTTGACCTATTTTAATCTATTGCGAACAGTGTCAGGACTAACGGTTACATTATGTGTTTCCTGGAGAATTAAACTAAGCTCTGGTGTTGTAAGAGTCGGTCGGCGTCGAGCATTTAATTGTAAAAAATGATCTTGCTGGGCAGTAGTAATGCGATATCGCCCTGTGTGCCTTTCAGCAATATCACCACTATCACGGTAGCGTGCACTTAATCGCGATATTACACTTTGCGTTGTATTTAATCGCAAAATAAAAACACAAAATCACCACAATACACCAAAACACTTTTACTTTTACACTGGACGCGCGTTTCGCTAACCATGTTAGCATCATCAGCAGATGATTATAAACTAAAGTACAATCTACAAGTTGAGCGTTTATATACTCGCTCAGTGGGCCCCGAGTGGGCGTGGCAAAATCTAGCTAACCAAGTCAGAGCCCACTGAGCGCAACAGTTAGATTTCCGCTACTAGAGTAGTAGGAACAAAGAACTTGAAGGAATTGGACCGTTGTCTCTGTTCATACTATCTTTACATTTATTAATTCTGATGCTTTCATATGCATCTAATTGACTGTAATTTGAGACTTGTTTAATTAGTAATTTTAAATTTATTAAGATCTATATACAATGTTCATTATCATAGATAGATCTTAATAATTTAAATGGTCATGAAACAATAAATATAACTTTATGAAATAAACTAAATGATAGCGAACAGTCAATCAGCACCGGACCAGTTCTTCAGTGGCGTTCCACTAGTG